TTTTATTCGAACAATTATGGATAATCTTTCCTTTTAATGGGTGATTTCAATGATCTTGATACTGATAGTTCGGAGCAAAATGTTTCGCTCTTTCAGGTTTTTAAAACATTTACCAGAGGTAATGCGGTATTAGATAAAATTTTGACTGATCTTGGAGATTTTTATTGTGAACCAGTGATTTCAGTATCAATAGCATCTAGTGATCACAATGTTGTAACTTTTGTGCCACGTAATGTTATTGGAGAACGGAAAATTTCTCACAGTTTTTATCGGCCATTTCGTGATTCATCAAAGAGAGCATTTGGCCAGTGGATCACTAATATGGATTGGGCTCCAATCTATGGCTTAAAAGATCCTGATGATATGGCTTGTAATTTCCAAATTATTAACGATCAGAGATATGAGCAGTATTTTGAGCTTGTTGACGTTAAACGCAGGGGTTATGATAAACCATGGATGAACAACCAGATCTGTAGACTAATTTTAAAACGAGATACTGTTTTTAAACTAGGTGGTAATTATAGGCCATTGCGTAATGAGGTCCAGAGATCAATTAAAGCTGCTAGCTAATCGTAGTTATTATTATCAAAAGGTTCAGTATTTGGAGAAATCTTATATTGGTCAGTGGCAGAGACAAATTCAGCTTCTTATAGGCAATCATAAGAGGTCTTTTGAATTGCCCAATGATAATAAATCTCCCGGTGAAATAGCCAATGACCTCAATGTACATTTTTCAGAGGTTTGTTCAAGTTTGCCGCCCCTTGATTTAAATTCTTTGACTCCATACTTACCAGCTGTTTGTTTGCCTTCTTGGGTAATCCGTCACAACCCATCATTTCCATGAACTCACACTTTTAATGTTTGTTTGGAAGCTCGCTGTTTCCCACAAATTTAGAAACGAGCGTCTGTGCAATTCCAAAAACTACTCCGGTTATTAATTTTGATCAGTTACGCCCAATTTCAGTTACTCCTATTTTGGCAAAACTTTTTGAAGGATTTCTATCTGAATGGGTTATGGATGATTTGAAGGAGTCGATTGATTTACAACAATTAGGAAGTATGAAGGGTTGTTCCATAGAGCATTCCTTGATAAGCATGCTGGGTACAATTCACCAGGGTTTAGATAAATTGGGGAATTATGTAAGTATGTGTACCATAGATTTCAGTAAAGCTTTTATTTTTATATTTTTTTATATTTTATATGTTGTTATTGAGAATTTGATTCATCTGAGTGTTGATCTAGCTATCTTGCCTACAGTATGCAGCTTTTTGGAGAATCGTAAACCAGTTGTACGTTTTAATAATGTTTCATCAAGCACGATGAACCTTACTTGTTGAGTTTCACAGGGAACAAAGTTGGGCCCTGTTTTATTTTTTGCCATGGTTAACGACTTAGCTGGTAATATACCCCATCGCCGGAAGTATGTTGATGAGTTAACTGTTCTTGTGGTTATTCCCTAGGATGGGAAATCAAATTTACAGGGTTATTTCGATTCCATTGCTAATTGGTGTCAGGAAAATGATATGAAGTTGAATCCTGTAAAATGCAAAGCCATGCAGGACTCATTTCATCGTAATTTACCACCGGCACCTCCCTTTAATGTAGTTATTGATGAGACTCAGCTCCTCAGATAAACTCCTTGGCATCTCTGTTACAAACACGCTGAAATGGGATGAGCAGGTAGGGAGGATCCTTACAACTGCATCTAGACGGCTGAAAAGGACGGTGCGAGTACTGATGATTTACTGTTGATTTATAAAATGTACATTCGCCCATTTCTGGGGTTTGGAGCAGCTGTCTGGTCCTCTTCTATTACTGTGGCACAATCCCAGAATATTGAGAGTGTCCAGAGACGAGCATTGAGGATTATAGCTTATCCCAACATTTTTTCATATTCCCAGTTTTTTAATTGTTTCTTTGCCAAATCTTGTCTCCAGACGTGATCAATTGGTTATGCATCTTGGCAGTGGTATTCCTAATTCCACTAGACATTGTCATTTACTGCCCAGTACACATCTAGAAGTCTCTCGACGCAGGCTAAGACATTCCCGTCTTTTACAAATTCCGCACTGTCGTACTCTGCGGTACAAACAGTCAGCAGTGCCAAACATGGTTAGTGAAATTAATGCATGTCCCGACTTAATAGTGTTGTCAGTTTTAATGTTATTATTTCTGTATGATGCATTTTATTTATGGTACATGTTGGTATTTTTATGGTGTTTTTATAGAGTATATTTATATGTTTATGTATTTAGTATGTAAATCAAACATGTTTAGTCCTTGACTAGTCGTTTGATGTAAATGTTAATTTTAAATAAACCATCTTTGAATAAAAAACTACGAGGTGGTACTTTCTGAGCTTTTAGCACCGTTTCACGACCAGCATCAACACTTAGCAGATGATATCAAAAATTCTTGTTCCCCCAAGTGGAACAATTTCCTCTGTGCAATAGTTCAATGTGTATTGTATACTCGTAATAATTAAAAGTCTGGTAACATATGGCCTTTATTTGGGTAGACAAGTTTGGTTAGACCAGCTGCTTGCTCGTGGTTTGGTGTTAACAGTGCCTCAGTTAGGTTTACTAATTTTGATAGCTTAACGTTATTTCTGTAGTTGCACCACAAACTAAGGCTGTGAACGAGACAGACTTCCAGAGCTACGGCTAGGCCATTGTCTGCGCGTCTCCACGTATTTCCAATGGAGTAACAACCTAGACCTATAGATCTAGACAACGGGTCCGGATGCAGCCTATTATAACATGCTTACATCCATTTGGACAATGGAGACCGTGAATATGAGCTTTACAATTCACCGATGGTGAATGCACACTGTCACTTTCGACCTCTTACACAGACGTCTGCACTGGGCATCATGACAAATAGAACATAAATCGTGTCGTGGATACATCCCAAGAGTTAAATGAGGATCATTAAGTGTGCAAGCCAATAAATTAAGGGGCAGGGGCAGAGCGTTTGGTATACATGTACCTACATGTATACACCTTTTTCCTGTGATGTCACGATGGTGTTGGACTGTACGATGTGTTGTGATGGTAATGGTGGATAGTGTTATGATGGTAATCTACCTATTTCAAGATAAACTAGTCAAGAATGCAGTGTTCGCGTGTGCGCTTGCACCTGGCTGAAGCTGCCCCGTAGGAATATATGCCATCACCGTGGCCAAGGCGGTCCACACCTGGTGGTATTGTTTACATTTAGTCACGTAGGTGAAAAGGTCTTAACGAGTGAACTGGACAATGGTAATCAACCGGAACGTAATTAAAGCCCACGGACACGAGCGTAAAGTCACTTGTGATGAGGCATAAATAATGCCTTATTTTATTTTTGTGAAAAAAGTATCTCGCCAGGCAGAATTGTGTGTAAACATTCCTATCAGTTTAAAAACTATCAATTTCAACACACCCAACTCTTCCCTATTCGGACGAACTACATGTACATGCACTGTTCCTTGTTGCGCAGTGTACATGGGCTCATACATATTGAGTGCAGCTCATTGTTAACGTTGAAAGTGTGGATTATTTTTACGAATCTACAGTTAATTGTAGATTCGTAAATCTACAGTCATTGTAGCCTCTTAACAGGCACGCTGGGCAAATTTAATGGATACCAGGAACGCCCACACAGTGGCCTTGCGTGTATGTTTGCCTTTCTCCATAGAAAATGCCTTATAGTTATCTCTTTTTTCACGATTAATGCTTTATAAACAAAGATTTAAATTTTCTCTTCCCGTCCTTTCAATGAGGATAAATTTGATGTGTTTCTGCGTCTACGTTTTGCCCAGTCTTTCTTAGATGACGGAGTATAGTTTTATTGAATTGACGCAAACACGGGTAGATCTTCTAGTTGTGCCAAGATCATACCGGTCCCGAGGTGACAGATCTGTCAGGATTATTGCTCGGTGAGCGTGCGGTCTGGCACATTTATCTCAGTTGTTTCAAACGGCTTTCAAACATAATTGTATAAACCTGCTTAAAGAGGTAACCTGTAAATTTTCTTGCGTTGTTAACTTTTGTAGCGCCATAAGTAATTTTAGGTGGATATGTGCGCTTTATAGAACTTCTTTATTGTTATTATTGAACTCCAAAATACGCATCGTAATTTGAATCCAATGTCGCCCATTCTCCAAATGACATAGCAATATGTATTAAGTGGGCATTTTGAAATGATTCAAACGTGTACATAAGAACATCTAAGGATCAGTGAACCCTATTATGAGTAGTTTGTAAAGTGGTTCGAAAACTGCTAACCATACTTTCATGAAGTTAATATAGCATTCTTCAATTTCATAGAGTCCTGTAATGGTTTTAGTCGGATAGGTTTTGCTGCAATGACACACGTGTAATAATGACTCCAAGGCGTAACAGGAAGAGAATATCCTACATACATGTATCCAGCACTGACGATGTTGACTGCACGAATACTCTCAGTGTTCACGAAGCCAAAACCCGTGCACAAATGGAACAAAGGTGTGCACTCAGGCTAAGAGTTAACATTGAGAGACTCGGGTTTCCACGTTCGTGCAACAATGGGAAAGTCAGAGAATAGAACTCGGCACTGTAGATTCTCTATGACTTAATGTCAAGAAGGTCACACTTTTTTACGATCTGTGTTTCCAAAGTGATTTATTGTGGATATCCTGTTAAAAACACGTTAAGTTAGTAAATTTGCATCTATATACATGCTTCTTATCCTCATCTTCATAGCATCCATAAAAGACTTAAGTATTGATGTCAGCACCATTTCCCATGTTGATTCGATACGTGTTTTACAAAGAGCAATCTCTCTCTACCCAATGACTGATTAATCTGCTTCCCATGAAACAATGCGTGAGCATCAACTGTCTCTATCACACATACATAGACACTTGCTACAGATTACTGGCTCCATTCGAGCCAATGAACTTATTGCTTGCATTCACTAGAACACATAAATACGATTGTGTATTACTTATTTTCACTAAAGTCGATGGTGAACAGTTAGGTGGCTTGTAAGTTGCGATGATTATGTTTTCTCTTCACATTTGTACATATACCTCAATTTATTAAGGTGCAGCTGGGTGTGGGGGCGCACAAAAAGCTACATACACCCACACAGCCTCAACTGAGACAATAGGTTATTCGTCACCTGGAGAGGGATACGCATACAGGGTGGTATTCAGTTAACTGTTGACCATGGAAATTATAGGAGTGCCGGTATGGGAAATATGCCGGTTGTAAAAAAACCTGGATAATGTGTTCATTTTTTACCTTTTCATGCGGCTTTTGAAAAGAAACCTACGTGTATGTATGCACACATCAACCTTTTTGTTTGAAATGAAGTTGGATCCAGTGAGTTGGATATGAACTTGGAGTGTCCTAAATGGAATAAGCGTGTTGGAAGAAATAATCCACGTTGATACGATACTCATCTCATTCCTAAATGGTCCCCAATAGCGCCACAGATAGACGTGGGAGACACGTTTGAGCGATGCACTTCAAATGAACCAGGTCATCTGCCAAACGATGAGGAGTTAAATTTTCGACAGTCATATTAGTTTCAACTCTGTTCAAGGTTTACCACTTTTGAGTGCTGTCTGAGATGGCAATCTGATAGCTTCCACTGTCCATGAATTCAAAGCAACGCTTAGTTGGTGGGAATGATTGTAGATGACTCGGCAGAGATTGGGGGGGGAATACACTACATGTACCATCTTTGCATATATTTGCAGATTCTCAGAACTGTAAACATGGTAAACGTCTGACCAACTGGTCTCTACAATGCACTTGCACTATTTATCATTCCATCAATAAAAATCGAGAAAAACCTATCCTTGTTCATAACTGTGCGGAAAACACAAAATAAATTTAGAAATACCTATTGACATCACCAATTATTCCAACTCTTACTTTTCAGTAGACATTGCAAAATACTATCCATAGGATAAATTTCAGAATTACAAAAATAATTAGTTATCTACGACTACATTAATTGTGACATCTACGGTTCCTTTAGGTTTTTTTTTCCTTTTCAAATAAAGTCAATAAAAAGCTGTACAGCAGATCTAAAAATTGGCAAAACTGTCCCTGGTGGCGCATTGTCAACTGGTTTGGTGACAACATGTACATGTACTTCTGGGTCATACCAGACAAACAAAGCTAGCTCTATGGAGAAATAAGACTCAAGGTGGACCCTGACCACACATAGCCAACCAACTGCTTCATGGAAAAAAGACCTACAGCCATTAAGGAATCAATAAGGAGAGGACTTGGCAAGGCCCTGAATCTGTCCCTAGGGGTGGATTAGGGGTTGGTCCCATCCTCTCCTAATCCTCTGAAAAAAAAAAAACAAACAAACCAAACAAAAACTATCCCGAGATACTTGGGGCATTCAAAATGAACCGGATTGTTGGATTTGATGTCCTTCTTAACAATTTTCCCAGGGGAGCACGCCCTGGATCCCTCTAGTCTCAAAATCCATAGGGGGGTCCCAAGCCGCTGCATTTGAAACCCACCCCCCCCTCTGATAATCCTTGGTGCACCCCTGCCAAATCAAATATGTACACACCTACATGTACTACATGTAACTTCACGGATCTGAAGCATCCACGTAGTGCTATTGATCCATATACAAGTACACATACACTACAGGGTCATTCCATGAATTTGGGTATGCAAAGTGCCACAGTCTGTTTAGCCTTAATCTCATGCAAATAGTTGCGAGCATAAACGGTTTTACCTTGCATTGAAGCCCTACACTTTAGGTAATATGCCTCTACTCTACATGTACCAGTAGGTATTTACATGTACATATCATTAAATACACCGTGCAATCTTTCCTTGTTTAGGTTAATGACCTTCAATAATTCTTAACAAATATCAAATTAACATATACAAAATGCATGTGTATCAAACTAGTTGAACAATTCAGGTTGCTTAGATAGGTTTGTCTCTTTAACTTACTTTCTCTCACAAAACATGTACAAATCAAAGTGGCCTCAATGTACATGTATTACGCATCACTGCTTATGACATACGTATTCTAAAAAATCTACGGAGCCCAATCCATGGAGAGTTTGTTTGGACTGGGATTAAACTCTTGTGTAGGCCCAGTCAAGGCACCTTAGTGCACAACATACAATGCCGGTCATGGCTAGGTTCCTCGGCACAAAGGCATGGGGGTGCTAATCGGAAATTATTCTTTAAGGATTCTAAAACGAATAGGAAAAAAATGAACATTTCTTGAAAAGTGGCAACTTTTTTGTACCTGGACATGGGATTTCCCAAGCTGCTAATGAGGACTCAAACGACACTGTCAGGTTCAGTGCTAGCTTGAAAATGCACAAGTGAAACTTTGACATTTCATGAAACATATTACAGGGCAACATAAGGAAGACAAGCTAAAAGTTAATTCACCCTACCACTAGGAATAGTGCCATGCCAGCCCCGATAAAACAGACCACCATTTTTGTACACTGTTAAATACTTGATATGGCTACAGGCGCTAAGGCCACACAATCTGGATTAAAAACTTGTTGGGCTATACTGATAAAAACAAAGGAGTTGTAACAGTAAAATAGGTTATAAAAAATAACGTACAAATCTGCCCCAGATAATCGGTATCAAGAACAGTATCAGAAAGGTCAGTTGCCTGGACTTGCTAGAAATACTTGGGAGGGAATTCCAAACTGGTCATCTTGAATCTTCCAATCAAGTGATAACAAAACTTACATGTTCATAATTATATACCACACCAGCTGCTACCAAGGACCAAGACTTGAGGAGGAGACTAGGCACCAGTGGAGACGGCTACTGGAGACTAGTGGCGGGCGCTGGCTTCCTTGGCTGCCATGATTAGGGGCACCAGACTCTTAAGGGGCTTGGCCATTTTCAGAAAGGGGTGCTAGAGTCAGGGGAGAAGATGGGTACAAAATACAAGGCTGAGTTAGATCAAGTAATTGAATATCTGAACATTCAACCATCCAGTTGATCCAGTATTCAAATACAAAAAAAAGTGTTACTTGGAGCTTTGCATGGCTGAGTGGTATACAAACAGGTTTGTTTGCAGGTACAAAATGGAAACAATCCCTTTTGGGAAGAAGTCTTGGCTCTGCCAGGAGTTGCTGGTAAGAACAGGTGTCATTACCAGAAGACAAACAGAGCATGTTATTTAAGAAGGCCCCCTCCAAAAAAAATGAAATGTTGGGCACATAACTTCACTGTTTTCACAAAGAGGCAAATTTTTCAACGGAGAGTAAGACTTTGGTTTCGAGAAAATCGCATTTGAAGTTGGTCTCTTTTTCAATAGCTTATTTCCCCAGTATTTGACTTGCGTTTGACTTTACGAAAGCTACTGCATGAAAAAGGGATCCTAAAAGACAAAGCTACTAAATAATATTCATAGATGTCACTTAACCACTACCAGCCGGGGACTCCAAAATCGGAGCCGTATGGTTTATATGCGTGGCCGGGGTCTCCGAACTCGGACAAAGG